CGTGAACCCGTCGGGTTTCATCTCCGCAACAACTGGAGCATAATGTTTTGTTTTCTTTGTTTTCTCGAGTTGTTTTTCGTAACAGGGCGTGACCATGGCTAAACAGATCAGGTAGACGCCTACCAGCAATATACTTGTGAAGGAGACATTAAGCCAACCTGGTCTCTGCCCTCGTTTCATGAATCCGCCCTCCACCTTAGTAAGGTAACTTGCGTAGTCGACGACCTTCCGTGTTACCTTACAATTTCTAGGTTCTTGAATATCTTCATTAGCTTTAGCGTTGCACTGTAGGCCATAAGGAAATGATTTTTAAAATTTATGTCGAAATCATACTAAGAGTTATTTTGATTTTAGGTTCTCGAATTTTTTAACGCACACGCAGAAGTTAAGTGTGTGCGCATGGCAGGCACTGACGAGGACAGGGCAGCCTATGTGGAGTTCACTGAACAGCCCTCTGTTGTCAAAGCCTTTGGTTTGATGGGTGCAACTATAGGCGACCGACAGGTAACCACTTGTTTCTTATAAGTGCTCTTCCAGATCATGGTGCAACACTCTAACTGCGCCATCATAAAACCGGCAAGTGCTCTGCTCGGTCTTGAGGATACCGCAAAGAAGATTTCCCCTCCGCCAAATCCGAGTCTAAAAGATGGTACGTAGTTTTAACTTGTATTTATATGTCTTCTCTATGATTCACTAAAACATGCACACACTCCTTTTACGTGTTTTTTACGTTAATCATCATAAATTGGCTCACACCTGAGTTAAAGACTACACGATTCTTCTTACTTGACGCAGTAGTCACCATTGGTTTGTCCAGTGTTGGCGACAATTTGTACTCACGTTAAATTTTCGAGGAAAGGTTTTGCGTGGCACCAGCCCTTTGCTCCCTTTCAGCCCTTGCCGTGTTTCATTACCAATGGCAGAGTATACAGTGGCCGGATGGGCATCAAGAATCACGCATGTCACGGAGCGTTAATGGATTATAACTAAAGCCCCCGGATGATCGTATCCTCAGGTATTTGATGCAGCTGTCATCGTACCTGACCTGTTTTACCCGTCTTGCACCTCGCCACATGTTTTGACCGGCTACAATGTATCGATGTACTAGGCCCGTAACCTCAAAGTATATTGGCGGTCGATTGGTTCCCCCGTGGCCAAACCGCAAACCTTTGTTACAAGTAGTTGATATACGTAAGTACAACTAAGGGCACTGTACTTTTGGATTAAAATGAAAACAACTGTATAGGAAGACCAAAATCACGTGGTTTTCTGTTTTCCTCGACATGTCTGGTCAAAGCCCTTTCGAAAGCAGGATTGAACTCAGGGTCAGACCTAAACTTTTGTTACACAATGCCTATCCTGCAGCATGCATGTTGGTCAAACAAACATCTTGGCGCCTTTAGGCGAGTGTTCCGGATTTTAATGACAGATTATATAGTTTATTTATTATTTAGTTTACCATGCCGTTGCGGCGCCAATAGTTTGAGGTGTTTATTGTTGTAACGACGGGTTCAGCGTCGCTAGTGTTATAACGATGACATCTGACG